CACACACACACACACACACACACACACACACACACACACACCTCTTCCACTGGCAGCTGGGTGGTGGCTGTGCTTCAGGGGCCCTGGTTGGGACTTGAACCCTGGTTTTCAAGAGTTCTACCCCTGAACCATCATGGTCTTCCACTGACAGAGAAGCTCCTTGAATCCCCGGAGTCTGTTTCTCGTTCGCAGATATATCCCGAGCACGTGGCAGGCTTTCTGGCACCTACTAGGTGCTCCGAGAGTGACAGTGGGTGTGGAGGGAATGAATACAAATGACCAAGAATCCTACTTTACCCTGGGCATGGAATGCCCTCCCAGCCTTTTACATAGATATACACGAAGTGTTTCAGAGAGTTGGTGGGGAAAATTCCATTATCTTTTAATCCCAATTTTTTCTATGAATCTTTTGAGGCCCCCTCATATAATGGATGGAGTTTCCCTCCCTTTCCAAAGTTCTGTCGGGATGAGCAGGAGTCAGGGTGTCATGCAGGGTGCTGGCATACCCCCAGGTGTGTCTACCTGGGCTTGCAATCTGGCCTTCTGGCTCTGCCACTCCTCCTGTAGATGCTCGATCGCCTTCTCCTTCCGGGAGGAGCTCAGAGGCGTTTGCAGATCAGCACCCTCCTGGAGGGGCACTTCAAGCCTTTGGAAATAAGGGTCTAGAGTCACAAAAGACCCAGAACTAGGCATGACCCCCTCCTTTGCCCACCCCCCACCTTAATACCTCAATTCTCAGAAACTCCCCTGCAGTAGAGAACAGGGAGCTCCAGTAGCCATGCAAAAAACCTCGGCTGCCACAGACCCCCAGAGACCCTCTGGGCCAGGCTGGAGCCGCCCCGCTGGGTTTCTCCGACAGTAACTCTTTACAGGAGCAGAAAGCCTCCTCTTTCTCCCCTGGAGCAGCTGAGGCTTTGGAACTGCAACCCAACGTGGGTCAGAAAGCTCGGACTTGACTTTCAAAGCGCAACTTGACAGATAAAGTTATTGCACTGTGATACCAGAAGACGTAGCTGGAACTGTTAGGATTGCTAGAGGGAGAAACAGGGGTTGTCGCTCTACATGCTAAGGCCTCCCTTCCTCCTTTACAGGAAGTTGGAAGCCGATAAAGGATAAAGGGCATGCACAAATTCAGGCCTTTGAGACAGGAAACCAGTACACCTGGGAGGGCCCCAATCTAGACCAGGTGGGCTTAATTCAGCCAGTGGGGTCAACCAGTACTGGGGGTCACACCTATCAGTGGAGGACCCTAAAAAAGCCAGTCCCGGGAGCCCATCCCCCTTTCCCAGCTGCTGCTCCGCTGTGCTGCAGTTCTTCTGACCTCCGTTTTCCACGTGTGGGTGTGAAGTGCCCTGAGGGTGCCTGTGTAAAACCTGAATCTTCTGTCCATTATAAAAACTCACTCGGGGATCACGAACCAGGCTTCTGCATGAATTCTTTCACGTGCAAAGCCAAGGATCAAGGTATTTCCACCCAAGGAATCTAATAGAACCTCGGGTGTCTGCCTGGCACCCCAACCAGTGGCTGTTGAGTCGATACCAGGTCACGGCGACCCCACCAGTGTCCGAGGGTGGGGGGGGGCGTGCTCCACAGGAGGGCCAGCAGCTGGGTTGTCAGAAGTCCATCACCACACCTTTCTTTCAAGGCGCTCTGGGCAGATCAGAACTGCCAACCTTCCGGTTGTGGCCAATTGTGTTATCCCTTTGCACTGTGGAGGGGCCCTGATCGGCTTTGGTGGCGTCTTGGGAAATGCTGACTAACAGTAAGAAGGACTGAGTGTGAAGAGTTACTCATACGGGGCTTTTGAGAGGCTCCAGAATAGAGGGCTCTATGATCTAATGTCACAACTCTTCCTGAGTAGCCCTGGTGGTGGAGCAGGTACCAGCTGCACTGCTAGCTGCAAAGTCAGCAGTTCAAAACCACCAGGTGCTTCATGGAAGAAATAGGAAGTTTTCTATTCCCATAAGGAGTTACAGTCTCAGAAACCAACAGGGGATGTTCTACCCTGTAGATGGCATGGTGTTTGGTTTGGTTTGGTTTAGTCTGGTTTCTGTCCTGAAGCCAAACCAAACCAAGCGGACAACAATGATGATCTGGGATGGCTTACATTCTAATACAGGACTTGCTGGCCCTATCCATGACCATTTTACTATCATAGGATGAAACGTACATAAGTGTGCACGTCAACGAGTCTTGGCAAATATATGCTGTGGTGGTGGTGGAGTGGGTGGTGGTGGTGTGTGTCCTCCAGTCACGGCAGACTCACAGCGACTCTGCAGGATGGAGCAGGCAGCCCCGCAGGGTTTCCTGCACTGAAATCTTTAGGGGAACAGATCACCAGGCCTTTTATCCCGTGAAGCTGCTGGGGAGATTGGGACTGCCAACCTCTCAGCAGCTAGGGGCTCAAACCATTGTGCCACCAGGGTGCCTTTGGACAAATACATGCAACCAGGAAACTCCCGCCCAATCGAAACACAGAGCACTTTCATAACCGCTCCCTCCCCAACTCCCTTGAGCCCCTTTTTGTCAAGCTCCTTCCCTTCACTACAGACTCATCCTTCCTTCCTGATTGTAAACAAGACACAAGATGAACTATGTCGTGTGTGTGTGTGTGTGTGTGTGTGTGTGTGTGACTTCTGCTCAACACAACATCTTAGTGACCCAGTCAAACAAACCCACTGCCATACAGTTGATGTCAATTCACAGCGTCCTATAGGACAGAGTGGAACTACCCCTGTGAGTTTCTGAGACTAACTCTTTAAGGGAGTAGAAAGCCTCATCTTGCTCCCGGGGAGCTGACTGGTAGTTTTGAACTGCTGACCTTGAGGTTAGCAGCCAAGCGAGTAACCAGTACATCCCCCAGGTTCCTTTTGTGATCCATCCATCCAGCTGCATGTCATGGGGTCACATCTTGTTGCCTAGTAGTACAGTAGTCCATTTTAGAAACACAGCGCCATCTGCTGGCGGGTTTTCCTTCAGCTAGATGTTTGGGTGGTTTACATTTCTGGGAGATAATGAATGAAACTGCTAGAAGTACTCTGGTACAAGCCTTTCTGTGAATATGTGCTTTTATTTCATTTGCATAAATATAAGCCAAGGACCCTGGTGGCGCTGGTGGGTCAGCGTGGGACTGCTAGTCGAAAGCACGGCTGTTTAAACCCACCGTCCACTCTGAGAGAGAAAGAAGAGGCTGTCTGTTTGCGGACAGAGCCCAGTTCAGGGACATTATGAAATAGCTAGGAGTGGGTTTCTTGTGTGTGTGTGTGTGTTACATTTTAAGAAAACAGTGATGGTACTCATGAACAGAAGTGGGCCGTGCACTTAGGCCATGGGTTCCAAGGGTCTGCGTTCTACCCACCCCAGGAGGCTGCCCTCCGAGGGTAACCCACTGAGCTTGCCCTTCCTGAACCTGTGTCTGGGGGCTGCTGTCGCTGATGTGGGAGAGGGAGGAACAGAGGTTTGGGGCCAGGCCAGGCTTCAGTCTTGAGCAGGTTTATCTATTAGCCTCTTGTGCTTCCTTAGGAGCCCTGTTGGCGTAGTGGATTACAGGCTGGGTTGCTAACTGCAAGGTTGGCATTTCACAACCACCAGCCTCTCCGACAGAGAAAGATGAGGCTTTCTATTTCTGCAAAGAGTTACTGTCTCAGAAACCCTCAGGGACAGTGTTACCCTGACCTATAGAGTTGCTATAAGTCAGAATTGACTCCGTGGCAGGGAGTTTGGGTGAGTTTGAGCATAGTCCCATAAAGTGTCAGTCTCAGAAACCCACAGGGCAGCTCTGCCCTGACCTATGGGGTCACTATGAGTTGGAATGGACGCGGGGACAGCGGGCTTCATTTGGTCTTTGTGTTTCATGTAAAGGAACTCTGGTGATGTGGCCTAAATGTTGACTGCTAATTACAAGGTCAGCGCTTCGAGTTCATTAACCACTCCACAAGAGAAAGATGACACTGTCTGCTCCACAAAGCTGTACAGCCTTGGGAACCCTCTACAGCAGTGGTTCTCAATCTTCGTGATGTACAGCCTTGGGAACCCTCTACAGCAGTGGTTCTCAACCTTTGTGATGTACAGCCTTGGGAACCCTCTACAGCAGTGGTTCTCAATCTTCGTGATGTACAGCCTTGGGAACCCTCTACAGTAGTGGTTCTCAATCTTCGTGATGTACAGCCTTGGAAACCCTCTACAGCAGTGGCTCTCAACCTTCGTGATGTACAGCCTTGGGAACCCTCTGCAGTAGTGGTTCTCAACCTTCGTGATGTACAGCCTTGGGAACCCTCTACAGCAGTGGCTCTCAACCTTCGTGATTTACAGCCTTGGAAACCCTCTACAGCAGTGGTTCTCAACCTTCGTGATGTACAGCCTTGGAAACCCTCTACAGTAGTGGTTCTCAACCTTCGTAATGCCGCGACCTTTTCATACACTTACTCGTGTTGTGGTGACCCCCCCAACCATAAAATTATTTTTGTTGCTACTTCATCCTGTCATTTTGATACTGTTATGAATCGGGCGACCCCTGTGAAAGGATCGTTTGACCCCCAAAGGGGCCGTGACCCCCAGGTTGAGAACTGCTGCTCTATAGGGTCTCGGTGAGTCAGTATCAATTTGATGGGGGGGGGGAATAGGATGGTTTTGGGTTTTTAATCAATAAATGGCCCCTGTGGGACAGTGTGACAATGAAATAGGCTCATTCATGGTGAGTCCCTAATGGAGCTGAAGTCACAGAGAAATTCTGTCTGTCCCCTTCCTAAGACGATGCCAGGGGCAGTGATCAATACTTGAGGAACGAATGAATGAAAGAATAGATTCTTCCAAATGTGGCCCCCACAGGGGCACTCAGAGGCCTGCATGTCCTCCTGTACCTCCCTTCTTCTCTCCCACCGGGGACTGCATCACCAGGTGCCAGCTTATCCTGAGAGTCGTCTCTTCCGAGCATGGTCTGGAACGGCTCATTCAGCTGCGAGCTGGGCTCCTACAGCAAAGACAATGAATGACAATGTCGCATAGGTACGGTCTGTCCTCAGCCGCCCCTGCCTCATGGCCACCCCTGTGCACATCAGTGCCCAGCCCTGCACCGCATACAGTCTGGATATCATCCGCGGGGCCCATGGACCTTTCAGAGGCTTCTGTTTGGCAAATAGATCTTCACGCCTTTCTTCTAGGTCCTTTGTACTGGGGAAGCTCTGCTGAAGGCTGCTTGGCATGACAGCAACACACAGACCTGCTCTGAGAGAGGGGCAGGGCATGAGACTGTGCCCTGGCTGGGAACTGAGCCCAGGTCTCCTGCAGGAGGCTGAGAATTCTACCACGGAGCCAGCGCTGTTCACAGCACAGCGCCATGACCCGTGCGTGGCTCAGATCCGAGCGCCACTGAGAAAGAGTCGCGGACGATCCACACCGGCATGCGCAGCCAGTCAGCTGGGATGGTAACACCAGGGGTGATGTGTTCCTGATGGGACCACTCCTGCTGGCTGACAAAGTCCAGCGACAGATGACCCGACTTCAAAAAGTCGGACTGTAGGAATTGGTTGCCGGAATCCGCTCACAAATTGTTTTGTTGTTGCCGCTATGATATTCTGGAGTATGTTTATGTTTTATCCCGGACCATGTAAAAATGAAACTATTATTGCCACTATGAGCAATAATGAGATCACGATGAATAATTCAGGGGAAATCACAGTACCCATAAAGAGAAGGGATGCACATGATAGAATGACTGAGTTAATTATCAAAGCCATACAAGGGAATGAGGATTTTGGTATATTTATGGAAAAATGCAAAAGTTAGAATTGGAACAACCCCTACTGACTACAGTAACTCCCGAGAAGTTCCCTATGACTGCCTTTCTGGGAAAGAGTGCCAAAGATAA